ATTTACGCAGAAATTGAAATCAGGTCCCCAAGCATCAAAAGACAATGCATGATCAAAAACATAGGTCCAAATAGATAGATCACTATGATATGATATATGCCTTGCGGCATCACGTGTTGGACATGCGAAGAGATAAGGATGCCCTGCAATAGACAGCTTTTCCCTCTGGTCGCCACTAGAAAGTGGCGGATACTTGTGCAACACTTTATAGGAATGAATTGTTAACGTTACAATAACATATTTATAATAGTGAAATTTGTCCATTGGTTCAGTAATTGCTCCAAATAGATTAGCACGGGCTTCGTCTGAAGTGGTTCCCAAGATTATTGGTTTCTTCTGAAAATGTCCTTTGGTAAAGGAGTCAATAGACTGTTCTGTGATGTCATCACCGTCAATGTATGGACCCCATGGTTCGAACAACTCTAGCAGTCTAAATGGGTTGACTATTTTGGTGCTTGTGTTTTGCTGGGCAGAAACGATTTCGTCAACATGTTTGCTCCGCATACAGTTAATATCTCCGGTTTTACATCCCAGTTCTGCAGCGAAGTAGCTACCTAGGATCTCCGCTCCAAGTCGTGAACGAAGGGGCAACGAAAGTGGATTGCTTTCCATGATTGCATAATGGAATAGTGAGTCGCTTTTCGAGGAAGCCAAGTGTATCCCAACAGACTGTGCACCAGCACTTTGTCCAAAAATTGTAACCTTTAAGATAATATATGAAACTGTGTTGATGAATGTGTTCAGAGTACTAAAACAAACAAATAGCACAATCATTCTGGCAACGTAGATAAACAAATATTCCAAAGACTGTTGTTTGTACTAAATGTACAATATTCTAGTCATCAACAAATAACTGGTTTTGTAAATTGTATCTTACCTTATTTGGATCTCCTCCGAAGTTAGCAATATTATCCCTCACCCATTCCAATGCAAAACGTTGATCCAAAATCCCATAGTTACCATTGGCAGCGTCCTTACCCACACCAGAAACTAAAAATCCCAAGGCGCCTTCAATGTAATAAATAAAATTGATTATTGAGCTTTCCTTTTTTCTTTTGTAATATATATATATATCTTTATTTCGTACTGTGGCCATTGGCCTTATGTACAGATACAAATAAATACATAATAAATTAGATTGGAATGGTCGCAGAAACAAGTAAAGAAAAACAAATATAAAATCATAATACATAACATTTGCATAATTAAGTGTTCTCTTCAAGCATAAGCTGACGTACTTGAAAACTATAAAATATAAATTTACCAAGGTTTAATTGTATAT